TAGATGCGTGTCTTGGCAGACGTCAGGATGGCCAGGACGTCCAATGTTGTTTCCCCGATTCTCAAAAAAGGTCTATAACAATTTGGCCGAGCTTCCTAAACAATGCTATAACAATAAGAACTGAACGAGTGGAATGATTTTTAACAATATAGAACAACTTTCAGTAATTCATATATATATTACAATAACACAGCATTCGTTATTTTGTCCCGTTTGTAGAGAATATTTAAATTTATGAAGATAGGTCTATTGAAACATCATATATGATCTACAAGAATTTGTAAATTAAGTTTACTGTGCAATAAATTGATAAAGAGGAAACAATCTCTCGAAATATATATATATATATATTTTGAGAATTTTTTTTTTCCTTTATAGATCCAGGTACGCCCTTTTATATAAATTTAATTGATGGATCGCCTTTTGACTCAAAATATATGAGATCATTTTGTTAGAAAGTTGGTGATATACGAAAGGAAATAAATATAAAGAAAATTCATCAACAATAGAACTCCAAGCAAAGGAAGAAAGAATAACCTACTACTTGAAAGAAAGATTAAGTGACATATATATATATTAATAGTAATTTTTTATTTTTAGAAAAAAGAGGAAAAGTAGAATATTAAGAACTACAGATTTTGAATTAATTTTGAGTCAGAACATCAAGCTAATTCTGTATCAAATAGTATCGTTATGAGAATTTCAAGATTTATAAATTTTGTTATTTAGTTTAAACATGTGAGGTTTGTTTTTTTAATTTTTTTGTAATAAATAATTAGTTAGAATATAGTAGTATAAGAAAAAGTAACTCCAGCAAAGCTTCGGTTGTTAAACGTCATGGGCTGGGTAAAAAAAAGAATAAGCGAAGAAAAAGTTTTATAGAAAAGAGCAAAGAAAACAAATTAATAATTTATATTATATATAAATAACAAATTTTATAAATCTTGAAATTCTCATAACGATACTATATATATATACGGAGTATGTAAATAAAGAAGTAGTTCCCCCGAGAGAAGCAAGCGTCCTCTAGACCACCGCCAAAATCCCAGATTGGTGCACGCGCTATCATCCGTCTTGCACAACAACCAAGAAAAAATACTACTATCTCAATGATAGAAAAGTGCCTTTGCGACATCGCTTCCTTAAAAACACCGCCAGACCTCGCGCAGTTCATTCTTTACCCATTTTAAATTTTAATTAGAAATTGCATGATATTGTACTCGTTTTTTTTTTCTTATTAGAAACTAGTTTTCATTTTAAGAAATTGATCTAGATTTTGTAAATTGGCTCCTAAAGTAAATGGGTGTTATTCTATCCACACAATAAAATTGTTGTGATATACCAAACCCATTATTGTAATTGAAAATCGTGACCCAATTTATTTCTTTAGATATTTGAACCAGATATATTTTTATCTGTACTTTTACTAGTTTACAAAATTGCTTTGATTCGCTCAAATTTCTCAGTTGTATTTAGTCATACTCGTGTAGTTATACTTTTTTCTTTTACATGTAGTTGTAATTTGAAAACAAAGGATACACATCATAGAGAAGGCTCAACGAAATTGTACACAAAGACTAAAATCACTATTTTACGATTCTCTTTAATTTTCTTTCAGTGTATTTAGTTTTACTCGTAATTTTTACTTGTAGTTGTAATTTGAAAACAAAGGTTACAAGAGATGGCGCAACGAAATTGTACATAAAGACTAAAATCACCATTTTAACATAGGACGTCAAATACATATCTTTTTTTTAACTCGAACGTTCCGATAATTTGTAAAAAAAAAAGTTTTGATACCTTGGGGATATTCCACTCCAGCTCAAGGTTGCCTGCCAGAAGCGTCAGTAATGATACCAGCAGAGACAACTTCTTGCATTTTTTAATCTGCTTTTTAAACACTATGAATAATTTTTGTACAAAATATAGGTTAAGAAACTAACATTTTCAATAATATAACCACAATGATTTTTACCCAATAATGGAAAAATTTTGCTAAAAAATCGCAAGCTTTAAAAAAAATTGACCTATATAGAAAATATAAAACATACCTAGCGAATATTCTAATGGGACAGAAAGTGGTTCAAAAGATAAGCCGATAAAAACGAATAGAGAAAAAAAAAATTCAAAATAGTATAGAAACAAAAAGTAATTTAGGAAGGTGTACAAATTTGACATACAATCGTGATGAT